GGTGATAGGAATAGAATAGAATAGAATAGAATAGAATAGAATAGAATAATAAAATATATGAGGATGGTGATGGGGATAGGATAGAATAGAATAGAATAGAATAGAATAGAATATATGACGATGGTGAATAAAATAGAATAGAATAGAATATATGAGGATGGTGATGGGAATAGAATAGAATAGAATAGAATAGAATAGAATAATAAAATATATGAGGATGGTGATGGGGATAGAATAGAATAGAATATATGAGGATGGTGATGGGAATAGAATAGAATAGAATAGAATAGAATAGAATAGAATAGAATAGAATAGAATAGAATAGAATAGAATAGAACATTAGAGTAGAGTAGAGTAGGAATAGGAATAGGAATAGGGCTGGAAGGGAACTTGGAGTCTTGAGATCTAACCCCTTGCCCAGAGCAGAAAATCTTATATCAGCATTTCTGCATTCTTTTGAAAAATTTCCAAAGTTACTGGTAAGCCCCAAAGTTTTCTCCCAAAGCTTCATCTGAGTTGATTGGATTAAAATTCCCTTTCTTAGATGGCCGACAAACATTGCAAGGAATGTTTCTACAATACATGCTTTTAAATAAAGGAGTGGGCAATATTTTGTAAGGCCCTATGGAACCATTCACAGAAAGCAGCTCCACTGCCCATTTTTTGCACCCTTAAAATCTCTTGCACCTCTCCAAGGGCTTGAAACAACAGTACAAAATTTTGGTTATTTTGCCACTGAATTTAGGAAAAGCCATCTCGGGGTGACGTGGTGGGGGCCACAGATTGGCCTCTCTCGTTTTAATGGATGTACAACTGGAAAAATATATATATACCTATTGGACAATAAATGGTTTATACAGTACACCCTTATCATGGTTGAGGTTTTGCAGAGTTTGCAAACGCCCGAGAAACTTTAAAAGCAGATCTTCACCCCTAAATTATGATAGGTGAGGAGAAAAGGTGAAAAGAAAAAAATGGCTCCATCCCTGGTGAAGCTCAAGAGGCGTCTGATATAAACCCCAGTGGCTTCTTACATTCTCTACAAAGATTCTCAGCCGTCCAGATCATAGTTGTATCAAAAGTGATTTTTATTTTTGAAAAGGCAACTGGACTTTTTTGGGGGGGGAGGGGAGAAAGAAGATATTTCACTTCCTTTCTTGGAAGCTTCATCCAGGTCAGGGGTAGTCAACCTTGGCTCTTTAATGACTCATGGACTTCAATTCCCAGAATTCCTGAGCCAGCTTAGCTGGCTCAGGAATTCTGGGAGTTGAAGTCCACGAGTCATAAAAGAGCCAAGGTTGACTACCCCTGAGTTAGATGATATGGGAGATGGAAGGACAGTTATTGATTTGTTGGTGGGAGGGAGAATAATAGATTAATCATAATAATATTATTAATAAAAATAGACAGGATGAGGGGGGGAATGGAAAAATTGTGATTTTTTTGCAGTCTTCACACACTCTTGAGAGCCGCTGGGGTTTGAACTGTGACTTCAGGGTCACCTGAATTAGAGGTGTGGAATCTTCTTGAAGGCCAAAAGGACTGGGTTGTAAATTGGGGATACGTGGTGTTGAATTCCTTCCCCCCCCTCCTTTGAGGGAGGACTTCTTACATTCCACGTCACAATTGGAACTGGTGTCCTTTACAAAACCTGCTCTTTTTCCTCTTAACCATGCCAAAATGAAACAGCTTCTGAAAACCCTGCACATAATTTAGAACAATAAAAGCATGGGGCTGGGAGGGACCTGGGAGGTCTTCTAGTCCAACCTCCTGCTTAAAGCAGGAGACCTTATCTACCATCCTGGTCAAATGGTTGTCCAGTCTGTTTTGGGAAATCTCCAGTGATGGAGCACCCATGAGATGGTTCCGTCAGGAAATTTCTCCTTACGTCTAGGTTGCACCACTGCTTAACGAGCATCCACCCGTTGCTTCTTGTCCTGCCTTCTGGTGCTGTGAAGAACGAGTCCGTTGAGGGACTTGTTCTCCAACTTGGGAGAACACTTAGTAAGTACCCCTCGTCAACAAAGCATGGCTAAACCATCTACTGTTTTAGCGTACGTTAACCTCATCACGTTGGGGCCTGGAGTTCAGAGGTGGAAGGGCCTAACCCAGGGGTAGGCAACCTGGGCTCTTTTATGACTCGTGGACTTCAACTCCCAGAAGTCCTGAGCCAGCCATTCTGAGGGGAAAGGGAGAGGTTTCCAAGCTGAGCCATGCTGGCTCAGGAATTCTGGGAGTTGAAGTCCCCGAGTCATGAAGGGGGGCATAGATTCCCCCATGCTTGCGCAGGAATTCTGGGAGTTAAAGTCCACAAGTCATAAAAGAGCCAAGGTTGCCTACCCCGGGCTAACCAAACTGAGCAAAATGGGAGAAAGAGAGATGCCAAGAAGGAATTGTAGGCACCAGAGGTTTTAAGAGCAAAGGTGCAAAAAGCAGGTAAAAGAAAAATTATTGAGATGTGTAGGATGGGCAAAGCTTTGCAGGAAGTCCCCCCCCCAAAAAAAAACCAGTAAAAGCAAGGACAAATACAGAGATTTCAGGCAAAACTCAACCTATCAAAAAATCTCCAACGTGTCTGTGTATCCAAAACAGAAGCATTTCCCCCACACAAAACAGGTTTGGCACCCGCACCCTTCACCCACCCCACCGTCCCCTCTAAAAAGTTTTTCTCCCAGGCATTTATATACAGTAGAGTTTGCCCAACACCCCAAACCATCAGCGAACTCAACAAGCTGGGTTCGCACAACCCATAAAACCTCTGTTTGTTTGTTTGTTTTTAAAAAAGCTTAGCATCTTGTGTGAAGGCAACCAAGTGGTCTGGAACCGATTGGATCCAGCAGGTCTAGAACATAGCTGAGATTCAAGCCACCCTCAGAGGGATGAAGTGCCGTGGTAGCTTTAGCTGGGTTGGACCAGCTTCCATCCTATCTATTCTGAACCTTTGAAATTCCACATTCGCAGAGATCCCTAAGATAGAAAGAGTACAGGCAGTCCTCAACTTAACAGCCATTCATTTAGTGATCGTTCAAAGTCACAACGGCACTGGAAAAAAGTGACCTAGGACCGTTTTTCATCCTTGACAACCGTTGCAGCCTCCCCAGGGTTACGTGATCAAAATTCAAAAGCTTGGCAACTGGCATGTACTTGTGACAGTTGCAGTGTCCTTCAGGCAAGCAAAGTCAATGGGGAAGCCAGATTCATCTCACAACTGTGTGGCTAACTTAACCACTGCTGCGATTCACTTCACGACTGTGGCAGGAGTCTCGCTGAGCAGCAGAAATTTGGAGCTCAATCGCCGTCGTAGGTCGAGGACTCCCTGTATTAGAAGGGTCAACACGAGAGAACGTGCGATTCCAAACTAAATGCAGAAGGAGCCGGGCTGTCAGTGACAATCAATGCTTCTCCTTTTCCGCCCATTTCTTATCCATTTCCCTGTTTTTTTCACGCTTAGGAGAAGCTACAGCATGTCCCAAGTGAAAGGTGGAGTTCCTGTTTTGTGTAGAGAAGGTCTCCATTCACCACTCTTGCAGAGACAGAATATAGAATAGAATAGAGCTGGAAGGGACCTTGGAGGTTTTCTAGTTCAGCCCCCTGCTCAGGCAGGAAATCTATACCATTTAGAATAGAATAGAATAGAATAGAATAGAATAGAATAGAATAGAATAGAATAGAATAGAATAGAATAGAATAGAAGCTGGAAGGGACCTTGGAGGTCTTCTAGTCCAGCCCCTCGCTCAAGCAGGAGAACCTATACCATAACAGAACAGAATAGAATAGAAAATATGGAATGGAATGGAACGGAACAGAATAGAAATACAGAACAGAACAGAATAGAATAGAATTACAGGATAGAAATACAGAACAGACTAGACTAGACTAGACTAGACTAGACTAGATTAGACTAGACTAGAACATAGAATAGAATAGAATAGAATAGAATAGAATAGAATAGAATAGAAAATAGAAAATAGAAAATAGAAAATAGAAAATAGAAAAGAATAGAATAGAATAGAATAGAATAGAATAGAATAGAATAGAATAGAATAGAAATCTAGAAGGGACCTTAGAGATCTTCTAGTCCAGCCCCCTGCTCAAGCAGGAGGACCTATACCATCTCAGATAAGTGACTGTCTAGCCTCTTTTCTTAAAAACCTCCAGTGATGGAGCACCCACGATTTCTGAAGGCAAGCTGTTCCCTGGTTGTCTTCACTGTCAGGACGTTTCTCCTTAATTCCAGGTTGCTTGTCTCTTTGGTCAGTTTCCATCCGTTGTTTCTCGTCCTGCCCTCTGGTGCCTTGGAGAATTTGACCCCCTCTTCTTTGTGGCAGCCCCTCAAATACCGGAATACTGCTATCGCATCTCCCCTATTTCTCCTCTTCTTTAGACTAGCCAAACCCCAAATCCCGCAGCCGTTCTTCCTAAGTTTTAGTCTCCAGTCCTTGGATCCTCTTAGTTGCTCTTCTCTGAACTTTTTCCAAAGTCCCGACATCCTTTTTGTAGTAGGGTGACCAAAACTGGCTGCAGTATTCCAGGTGTGGCCTTACTAGGGCTTTGTAAAGCGGTACTAATACTTCACGTGCTCTTGATTCTATGCCTCTGTTTATACAACCCAGGATTGTGTTAGCTTTTTTGGTGGCCTCGAGCCGGCCTAAAGATGGCTGGCTTTCTTCTCACTGCTCTTAAACAGGGAAATCTGGGTATCCCTGAAGAGCAGCAGAGGAAAAAGCAAATGGCGGCACCGTGGACACTTGAGGTGGTATGAGGGGATTCATTTACCTCAGTAATGGGGCAACACAGCTCTGTCGCACTGGCTCTAGAGAGATGTAATATTTGAATTATTTTTTTTAGACAATATTCCTTTATCTTCTCTACAGATCCATGCTCCTTTCACCCCAATGCCACAGAGCAGAACACAAAACAATAGGACTGGCAGAAAGAGTCTCTTTTGGCGCCGGTTTCCAAGCCCGCCAGCAAATTAAGACCCGTCGGGTGGTCGCCGTTCAGTTGATCTCCAACGTCTCCAACTCCGTCAGGCCAAATTTCGCCTTGTACTTGTCAAAGAGCGTCACCAGAGACTGTACATACAGGTTGTGATAAAAGTCTATTTCCTTCTGGCTCGGATTGTCGGTTTTCGGGACTGTGATGGGCTCACCAACTGGAACACAAAAGAGAGAAAGGGGCGTGACAGGTGACGGATAGATAGGTTAGCCCAGGGGTCTTCCAACCTGGCCCCTTCATGACAGGTGGACTTCAACTACCAGAATTCCTCAGCCAGCATGGGGGAACTATGGCCCCTTCATGACTTGCAGACTTCAACTCCCAGAATTCCTCAGCCAGCATGGGGGAACTATGGCCCCTTCATGACTCGTGGACTTCAACTCCCAGAATTCCTGAGCCAGCATGGGGGAACTATGGCCCCTTCATGACTCATGGACTTCAACT